AGGAGGGCAGAGCTTTGCGTCACCCCTAGGGCTCGGGGCCCTGAGCATCGTCGGGGTCGGTCCAAGCTTCCCTTGTCCCAGCCCAGCACCCACACCCGGGCAGCCGCGGCCAAGCACCACCACTTCCGCCCGACACCCGTCCGAAAATAGCCGCTTCAAGCCGCTTCCGGCTTCGAGGACTGCGGAGCCGGAGCCGCCCCCTCGGGGGCGGGGTCTGCGGGAAGCCACGCCCCTCGCTTCCGGCTCACTTCCGGCTGCGCCTGGCACCGCCCGGCCGCTCCGGGCTCCGGCCGAGACTGCCCCGCCCCCCAGGGCCCGCCTCCAGTGACGTCAGTTCCGGGGCGGTTCGGGCGGGGCCGGCGCTAGGGCTGCTGCCCCGAGCAGTCCTGGCTCGCGTGCGCTGCTCCGCCGCCGGCCACGTCTCCACGTCGGGCCGCGGGCACTTCCCCGCCGTCCGACGGCCGCCCGGCCGCCGCAGCCTGCCGCGCCGGGTAAGGGGCCCGCGCCGCCGTCCGGGGAGCTGTTGTCACGGCTCCCCGGACCGGCTTGCGCCTGAGAGAGGGAGGTGGGGGCAGGAGGAGGCTTGAATCGGGGCTCGACAGGCAGGAGGGGGACGGAGGAAGGGTCAGTGGGGGCCCAGGGGCAAGACGGGACGACTGGAGGTGAGGAGCAGCAGAGCGGAAGGGACGGAGGGAGCCCGGTGGGGGCCGAGACTCCGAAGGGGCACGGACGGGGGTCCGAGAGGCTGCGGGGCGGGGAGGGCTGCGGGGAGGGGGGAATCCCAGACCGGAGAAGAGGCCCGGGTGGTTCGAGTTTGGGAGCGGAGGATGGGAGAGTCGGAACAGCCCTATGAGGGAACTCACAGGTCTTCCCGGGGCCAGGCTGGGCCCCAGGAGACGTTGCCCTCTGAGACGGAGGTGACCCAGGCCCGCTACCTGGGAGGGGGCTGTGCATTTGGATCCTCTCGCCCGCCTGCCTCCCCCTTGTGAGCCTGGTGGCTGCTTGCTGTGTGCCATCAACTCCCCGGCTGATAGGAGGATCCGCATCCACATGGCTCGCCATAAGACATAAACATCGTGCTTAGAAGTCTGCCTGTGCCAACGTGCAGTTATTTTTACCCCCTGCAGGAAGCATCTCTAAAATTCCAATAAAATCGGTGAGGAAAGTATTTAAATTACTAATTTCCCACGTACATGCTGGACTTGCTTGCAGACCAAGGAATGACAAATTTGCCCACACTGCCAGCAAACACTAGCCTTTGATCAGCTTTTGCCGTGATAACCAATACTTACAGAACCCTGGAAGCGAGCTTTGTGATTTAGACGATATTCACTTCTGCAGGTTTCCATCTGCCACACAGACCTATCCTTTAGACCACAGGGCACTGTCTATATACACAAAACCACAGACCTGCGTTCCTTGCATTCTGAGACCAAAGTTCAGCCAGGTGACGTGTCAGGATTAGCTCTCTGTGGTTTGCCCCATATTTGTTTCTGCATTTCCTGCTCCTTGGTATATATAGCTTCTCCAGCTTGGAGCGGGGGCCCAGGCCACGTTGCTGCTGGTAAATAATCACGAGTGATGGAATGTCAGGGTAACACTGTATAGTCCCTTACTAAGCCTAAGGATTACTTGTATCGGCTCTTAGGAACCTGACTAAGGCCAGAAAAAGGAATTCAGCAGTTTGGAGTCTGAGTCGATATAAACTCGTACACAGCACTCAGCGTACAAGAAACAGATTCAGGGGCGCCTGGGTGGCTTAGTCGGTTAAGCGTCCGACTTTCGCTTAGGTCATGATCTCGCGGTTCACGGGTTCGAGCCCCGCATCGGGCTCTGTGCTGACTGCCAGCTCAGAGCCTGGAGCCTATTTCAGAGTCTGTGTCTCCCTCTCTCTCTGACCCTCCCCTGCTCACGCTGTCTCTCTCTCTCCCCTAGAAATAAATAAAATTAAAAAGAAAAAAAACCATTCATAAAAGAGTTAAAAAAAAAATCAAACCAAGTTTGGGAACACAAGAATTCAGAGACTGGACATATTGGGAAGCATCGTGAGATCGTGGACCAGAAAAGGGTCCAGAAGTGGACACATATGGCCACAGCCTGGGGGTGCCTTTCTAAAGGGGGTGTCTCCTGTCTCAAGGGGTGCTGCTCTTTCCCTGCAGCACTTGGTGGGGAGCTGAGCCCTGAAGGAGGAACTCCCAGCACTGGCCCAACTCCTGTCTTTCCGTCTTCAGGTCTCCGGCTTAATCATAACTGAATTCTTGTTTAGTCCCTTACTGCCGCAGGGGTCTCTTTCCATCTGTTGTAGTCTGAGACCTTGGCCTGCCCGGTCTCCCTGCACCCTGAGAATGAGAACGACTGGCCAGACCCTCATTTAAGGCTTAACGGAAGTCTTAGCAAGACACTGTCATTTTACATCTTGTTCATGGTTTGTCCTTTGTGAGTCAACTTAGGAAGATTAGTGCAGGTCCCCGCACCCATGTATCTTGACATTTAGAATATGCTGTTGGAAACTGGAGGCAGGACCATTCCAGAGAGATGAAGTCACGGCCCAATGAGGGCCTGTTCTTGACTCTACGACAGCGACCAACTCCCAGTTCTGTGGGAGTGATCACCAGCCCCTCTGGCTGGGAGTAAATAAGCGGTGATGGTATCCAGTAGAAGTTTCCCGAGAAACTCGTGGAGTTTCCAGACAGTCTTAGATAAATGTTCCGTCTATGCACCCACCTTTGTGTTTGTAACTGTGTGTGTGATTGTACATGTATACACATGTAGCAATGTGCATGCACGTGTTTGTGCACTTGTGCATGTGCCTGTGTGTGTGTGCGCGCGCACTTGTGAGCATTTGTATTAGGGAGCAGGCCCATGTGGTCCTCACGCACTCACACATCATCTACTAATATCTGCTACTCTAGGTGATGAGCTGTTTCTTAATCTCCTGAGTTTACATTAAATATTCATCAATGAGATGATTCCATTTGTGCTGTTAATATCTCTGCATTACACTGTACTCCTGCTGCTTCTAAGGTTTTGGTTGGCTCCTAGAAAGAGGAGTTTCTCTAGATCATTAAAATCTATACGTGAAACTATATCGAGTAGGATTACTCTGTGCCTTTCTGCCTGATAGCTCAAAGTACTTGAAGAAAATCAGACATTGTTTCCTTAGGTTGGAGCCTTTCAGAAATGTTCTCCAAAAGCAATATAAGCTGGTGTTAAAAAAAAAAAAAAAAAAAAAAGACCTATATGTAGGAGAAAATGAGACTCACCAGGAAATTCATTCCTGGTGAATACAGTGTTACACTTTATTAATGGTCCACTGTAAGTCTCTCTAGATCCCTTAACAAACATCTATTTAAATAAAAATAGTATCGGGGCACCTGGGTGGCCCAGTCGGTTAAGCGTCCGACTTTGGCTCAGGTTATGATCTCATAGGTCATGAGTTCGAGCCCCACATCAGGCTCTGTGCTGACAGCTTAGAGCCTGGAGCCTGCTTCAGATTCTGTGTCTCCCTCTCTCTCTGCCCCTCGCCAACTCGTGCTTTGTCTCTCTCTGTCTCTCAAAAATGAATAAACATTAAAAAAATATATCCTGACATTGAAAGTTTTGATATACGTTGTCATTTTCCCAGGATAATGATCTATTTAATGCTGCTATTTCAGTGTCCCCTTCCTCCCTGAGTTCTTCCCCTGTGCTTCTCCTAAGGAGTGTTTACTGTTCTCAAACCCTAGATGCGTCTGCCGCCAGAGTGGGGCGTCTGCGCAAGTCGCTCCCGTGCCACAGAGCATGGCCTGGGAGTGCTCCTCGCAGCTGCCCTCCCGCCCTGCACGGCCAGACCGCACCCGGCCAGCGCACGGTGCCCAGCCCGCAGCATGCCCTGAGCAGCTGCCTCTGGTGAGTGTCCGCCGTCCTGCAGGCAGGGCCACCTGCCCGGTGTGGGGACAGTGGGCCCGAGGGCGCTTTGCCAACAGAGTGGGAAAAGGACTAGAGCAAAAAGGAAAGACATCGAAGCCCCGAGGGGGCCCTGTTCCGTGGTGCTTCTGAGGTAGACCAGGAGGGTGGTCCACGAGCATGCCTGCGAGCATGTGGTCCTCAGTGGCCCTTCCTGTGCTTGTGACGCAGAGGCCAGATGCCACAAGAGGTTTTCTCTTGACCTCGTGTCTAAATAGCGAAATGCTTGCGGGCACCCGTCTTTGCGGGGGGGGGGGGGGGGGGGGGGGGGGGCGGGGGATGCTGCCCCTCGCTGATGCTGGGGGGGAGGAGCCTGCTCACAGTCGGGGACCAGGGAGGGGCCGCCTAGAGGCTGCCCCCAGACCAAAAACAAGACTGTCGCCTCTGTTCTGCCCGAGGAACCAAAAAGAAAGAGGAAATTGTTGGCCACAGCGGATCAGTCCCTCCCCACCGTATCAGCTCTGAAGTTCACTAAGGGCTAGAGCAGCGTTGGCAGACTATGGCCCGAGGGCCAAGTCCCGCCTGGCTGCCTCTTTTTGTACATAAAGTTTTATTGGGCCGCAGCCACGCCCACTCTCAGGTCCCCAGCGGCTCCTGCTGCCACAGCCGACTTGAGTCCCTGAGACAGAGCCCGTGTGGCCCCCGAAACCTAAGACATTTGCTGTCCAGCTCTTTACTGACAAAGTTTGCTGACCCTGTCCTAGGGATGGGCAGCGAGGGGGACAACAGAACATTCAGGAAGCCCAGGTCTCAGCACCACCCCACCCCAGCAGACCCCCCGACCCTGGCCTCATACGGGGACCAGGCTGAGTTCAGCAGTGGGAGCATTTCAGATGCGTTCAGTGGACGTGACTGGCCAAAGAAAGAGCCATTTAAATACATTTATTTACCGAGAGCCCAGCTGCGCGGCCTCAGCTCGTGGGGGAGGATGAGTTCTTTGTTCCTGAAACCTTCTAGTTTCAATTCTTGCCTCTCACGATATTGTGATTTTCTTCTGATTCTTCCCTCCCCACCCCACCCCCACTGGTTTCTGTCAGAACAAAGAATGCCTTTTGCATTCTAGAAAACAGATGTAAATCTGTGGTTTGTGGGGCTAAGTCCTCTAAACCTGGAAGCTACCAGAGGCCTTACGGACAGTGTTGGATGGAAGGTGCAACTTAAAGCTAGAAGAAAGCTGGGGACTCCCGCAAAGGGGCGAGAAGCATCGAGGAATGCGCCAGCCGTCTGGAAGAGTTTGTCCTCGACGGACTTTCCCAGTCACCAGGCCTTTTCACAGCAAGCTCCTAGCTCGTGCGTGGGAGGCAGAAAGACACCATGTGACCACACACCCCTTCCTGCTGCCCAGGGCCCGCGTTGCGTAGCCCCCCGCAAGGCTGGAAGTGCTTGCTGGGGTGGATCAGAGCCTGCGGGGATTTCACGTGCCCGGTGCGGGTGGGGCCATCGGAGAGAGTCAGAAGGGCCAGATTTTGAGGGCCACCTTGGCCATGGTAACGAGCTTTGGGATACTATGGGTTTAAGCAATGGAAGCAGGGTCACCTTGGTGGGTTACAAGGATCTTTCTGGAAGCTGTGGGGTGGCATGTGGATCGGGGCCGGGATGGGATGCTTGAAGGTGATTCATTCGTGACTCGGGGCTGCTAGGAAGACCGTGAGCCCGCCCCGCTCGCCAGCAGCCGGCCTGGTTGTGGGCCACGGAGTGCAGTGAGCAGCGTCCCTGCTGGGCAGGGAGTTGATCGGGACGTTTTCACGTGGCCCAGGGGCTCCCTTCCGTGATGTTTTGTGCAACTCAGAACTTCATGGCGAGGTCCAGTGGAAAGACCAAAGGCCTCGGGTGTCTTCAGGCAGGACTGATTTCGGAGGTGCCCTTAGGAGCCCCAGGCTCATTGCCTGCCCTCCAGCTCCCAGCATGCCCGGGGCCTGCTTGCCCTGTGCGCAGATCAAGTGTTCAGTCATGCGACCAAGCTCAGGCCTGCAGGGGCTCCCCCGCACATCCCAACTGCCCAGTGGTAGCCTGCCAGTCTCTGGGCTGGTCCCAGGTCTCGGCACACCATCCCCCTGCTTCTGGCCTTGATGCTCCCGCTCGCCTCCCCCGCCCCTTCCCCACCAAGTGGCTCCCATCCATCTTTCAGAACACAGCCCACTGTCGCTTTCCTAGGAAGCCTTCCCTGGCCACACCCCTCCTCCCACCAGAACTCAGGGCCTCCACACAGAGGGCCAGCCTCCAACTTACACGTCAAGGCCTTCCCATGTGCCACACCCTTCCTGCTTCCCAGCATGCAATCACACCTCTGCTCTTTGCGTGCAGCAACTTGCAGTGACCTCTTTTCTGTGTCTCCTACTGTGTGTCAGGCTCCCTGGAGGAAAGAGTTGTATGGCTTTCATCTTTTTGTTCTAGGTGTACTGCTCAGCACATGAGGAGGTGGGTGGATGGATGGATGGATGGATGGATGGATGGATGGATGGATGTGGTGGGTGGGTGGATGGATGGATGGATAGATGGATGGATGGATGGATAGGGTGTGGGTGGATAGATTGATGGATGGAATGTGGATAGATGGATGGATGAGGTGGGTGGATAGATGGATGGATGGATGGAATGAGTGGATAGATGGATGGTTGGTCAATAGGTGGACAGAGGATGGATGGATGAATGGATGGATGGGGTGGGTGGTGAATGGGTGGTTGGATGGATAGATGTGGTAGGTAGACAGATCGATGAATGGAAGGGTGGATGGAGGATGGATGGATGGATGGATGTTGGCTGGGTGGATTGATGGATGGGTGGGTGGATAATAGATGGGTGAATGAATGATACATGATGGTTAGATAGATGAATGGGTGATGGCTGCCTGGCTAGCTAAAGATATCTCCTATGGGAAAGGTGTGGTCAGCCATCATGGGCTGCACAGAAGTGTGTTGGGCCTGATATGTGACCTTGGCCAGACTTGGTGATCGAACGGCCTTGGCCCTGTGAGTGTGGTGAGTGCTCTTTCCCACCAGAAACTCTGGGTGGGAGAAGCACTTGGAAGATTGAGACACGGAGTGAAGTTGGGTCAAGGAGTGCTTTGAGCCGATCGAATATAGGCACTGGGCACATCACCAGACCACCATGGTTGGGACGTACCTCAGTCTCCCTGGGCGCCGGGCCCTGGCTGGAACACTCAGCTCAGTTTGCGCCCTGGACCTTCCAGAACCCTCCATGGCAGTCACAGTGCCATGTCCCATGTCCCAGGTGAGGCTGTGCATTACTGACCAGACTCCTTCTTTCTTGACCACAGATCCTTGAGCCCAGCAGCAGGGAATTGGTAGCAGCCTGAGGAGTGGCCAGCTGGGAGCCTCAGGGACCGCCCGGCCTCGCTCCTGGCTCACCCACAAGATGTGGACAGCCCTGGTGCTCGTTTGGATTTCCTTGTCCTTATCTGAAAGCCAAGTCCAGTCCCAGGATTCACGTAAGTGAGAAGGCCATGTGGTTGCCGGTCAGGCCTGCAGTGGTCCCAAAGCACTCTGAGCCCAGGGAACATGTGTGCAAGCCTAGGCCAGCGAGTTGGGAGCCCCGGAGCCGCCCAGGTGCTAGGCCGGGGAGGGCCATCAGGCCAGGCTTCTCTGAGGACTGGGCCGCTGAGCCCTGAGAGGGTTACTTGCTTGGCCCTGCAGAATTTCCTCTATAAACCCAAAGCCGTCACTGAGGAATTCGTCTGTTCATACGTCAAATATTTCACTACACTCCCGCTCTGTGCCAGGCACTGTTCATCTCCAGGAATTCCTGCCGCAGATCCTTTCCTAAAGCCAAGAATTCCTCTATGATGTGACCATCTGCACGTGGTTTGTCTGCTTTGTGAACCTGGGTGTGTGTGTGATGGGTTTTGTCAATGGTGAATCATACCTCTAGGGTCTAGGGTGATTTCACTCTGATGTTTGGGGAATTGGATCAAAGAAGGATCAAGCTCTTGAGCCTTAGATGGGCTCAGGGTTCAGAGGGGAAGGGAGTTTTTACTCAGAGTGCCAAGCACCTCTCCGTGGGCGATGGGCAGCAGCCTCAACGCGTGCGGGAGGAGTCCGGAGGGAAGCTTGCTCCCAGGTCTCACTCTCCCTGCGCTGGGGAGGAACGCCCCCCAGGCCAGGCCAGCGGGCAGGAAATTAAGACGCTTACTGAATAATTCCCCAGCACGTGATGGACAGTGACTGTATCTTTTTCTCCCTTTTCTGACTAAGGGCACTTAGTCTCCAACCAGAGGGCTAACTCAGCCCAGAATGCATCGGTGACGACAGCTGCAAGAGGCCTCAATGGGACGTCTGGGACCATGACCGTGCCTCCTGTCACACTGACCACAGGGACCCTGGTGGCCGACCCCAGCACTCCTGCAGCCACAGCAGGGAGCACCTTCAGGACAGACACGGGTGTGGAAGGTGCCTCTGACCCAGCAGCCTCGGGGGGACCCTCACCAGCGGCCCCGGCGTCCACATGGCGGACTTCAGCCCCTACCACTGCTCCTGGCACCCCCACGGCAGCGCCCACAGCGGCGGCCCCCGATGTTCGGACCACAGCTGGGGCCACAGCGAGTGCCAGCAGCCCGACAGGCACACACGGCCCTTCCACTGCCCGGCCCACGCGCCCCCCGAGTCACTCCGCAAGTCCCCCAGCACTTAACGTGTCCACACAAGGCCCCACCGTCCAGACGTCGACGGCCCGGCCTACGACTGGCACAGCAAGCAGGCCCACATCTCCCCTCGCCAGCACAGCCCCAGAGCCCACCCTCGGATCCACAGCTCCCACGTCCACGACGTCAGTGACCACCGCCAAGATGCAGGCCCCGGAGCCGGCTGCCAGCACTGTACCGACACCTGACCCCGGCCCGCCCCCCAGGGTGGAGTCCACGTCCCCCACGACGCAGCCAGGCCCCGCTCCGTCCCCCCAGGGAGCTGCGGGGCCAAGCGGCACGCCCCCAACTCCAGAGCAGGTGCGACCCGAAACCCCGCCTGGTGCCGCTTCCACCACCCCGACCCCCGGGAGTTCGGGGGGCCCCCCCAAGGTGCCAGCCTCAGCCCTGTGCCCGCTCGGCACGCAGGGCCCGTACCTGGTGGTCACCACTGAGCCCCTGGCCCGGGCTCTGGTGAACACAAGCTTCCTCCTGGCGGTGCTCTTGCTCGGGGTGACGCTCTTCATCGTGGCGCTGGCCCTTCTGCTTCTGCAAGCCTACGAAGGCTACCGCAAGAAGGAGTACACGCAGGTGGACTACCTGATCAACGGCATGTACGCGGACTCCGAGATGTGAGGGGCCCACCCCGCCTTCCATTTCGCCTCTGAGGCCAAACCAAGTGCTTCCAGATTCTTTGGGTGCAGGTAGGACGTACGCCGGACGCCCAAACGCACCGACTTGCAGTCGGCCGGACTCCGCGAGCACACCAGAGTTGCTTTGTTCATATTTATTTTTGTAAACAATCATGTTAACGGAGCAGGCAGCGGCCCCGTGTGGGCAGGCCCGGCCCAGCCCCAGTGGCCATCCTGCCCGGAATTAAAGCAACAACCGCTTTGCATTCAGACCCGTGTATCCCCGTTTGTGACGCCGCGTCCCGTCCACCACTGTGCCCCAGGGTGGGGGTGGGGTGCTTGACTGTGACATCGGCCCTGGGTCCACCATGTCTGCGCCGCTCCCGGGGGCTTCGCTCTGACTCCCGACGCTGCCCAGCACTCCGGGGGGTTGGGGGGTGGTCTTGGGCGTCTCTGGCACCACGTGGGCCAAAAGGACGGAGGCTTTTTCCTTTTTTTTTTTTTTGTTTTTATTTCTGAGAGAGAGAGAGAGACAGCGTGAACAGGGGAGGGGCAGAGAGAGAGGGAGACACAGAATCCAAAACAGGTTCCAGGCTCTGAGCTGGCAGCACAGGGCCTGACATGGGGCTCGAACCCACGAACTGTGAGATCATGACCTGAGCTGAAGTCAGATGCTTAACCGACTGAGCCACCCAGGCGCCCCGGACGGAGCCTTTTTCACAGACGACGCTCTTCCAAGGTGCTCAGGGGCACAAGCTTAGAGCCGGATTTGGGCACGAGAGAGCTGAATCCAACGTGGAGAACACACGTGAGCCCCACACTGTGGCTGGGTCGGCCTGCACCTGCTCCCCACCCAGGCCAGAGCGCTCCCAGGGCAATCTCTCCAGAGTAAGGTGACATCCCTGGGCTCCCCTCTTCCAAACAGCCCTCAGAGCCGATGCTAAGTTCCCGTCGGGCCAGTCGCGGCCCCCGTGCCTGACGTGCTAACCCACTTATCCCCCACCTCAACCCCAAGAGAGAGGCAGCGCGATCCCTGTTTAAAAGGTTGGGCCACTTGGGGCGCCTGGGTGGCTTAGTCGGTTAAGCGTCCGACTTTCGCTTAGGTCATGATCTCGCGGTTTGTGGGTTCGAGCCCCGCGTCAGGCTCTGTGCTGACTGCCAGCTCAGGGCCTGGAGCCTGTTTCAGTCTGTGACTCNAAAGAGGCAATTGCAACTGAATGTAATAAGTGGAATAACGTGATGATGATGATGGCGACAATAGGGATTTATGTTAATTAGATCATTCTCTCAACCACCCCTTGAGCTAGGTACCAATCTTATTCCTATTTTACCAGTGAAAACCTGAGGCTAGGGGCGCCTGGGTGGCTTAGTCGGTTAAGCGTCCGACTTTCGCTTAGGTCATGATCTCGCGGTTCGTGGGTTCGGTCCCCGCGTCCGGCTTTGTGCTGACTGCCAGCTCAGGGCCTGGAGCCTGTTTCAGTCTGTGACTCCCTCTCTCTCTGACCCTCCCCTGCTCACGCTGTCTCTCTCTTTCTCTCCTAGAAATAATAAAACATTAAAAAAAAAAATTTTTTTTTAAAAAATTAAAAAAAAAAAAAAAGGTTGGGCCACTGAGGCACGAAGGAAGGGGAGACGTACTCACACCCCGAGGGCCAGAATCAGGGTGAAACCCTACCTACCACTCACCTGCCCAGGTTGAACGTGGCCTTGAGTCTTTCTCTGCCTACCTGCCCAAGACAGTGAGAGCTGTGTTCCCAGACCAGGTGTGCAGCTCCTAACTGTGTGACTTGGAGCACGTGTGGAATATTCTGGAACACGGCTCCTCCATCTATGAAATGGGGAGACATAGAATAATCTGTTGTGGACCCAGGGCTGTGGGGCCTGGCTTTTTCGGCGGAGGGGAGTCAACTCTTGCTTCTCAAGTGCTCTGAACCCTGAAGAAACCATTAAAAAAATTTTTTTAAATGTTTATTTAGTTTTGAGAGAGAGAAAGTGAGAGACAAAGTGCAGAGGGGCAGAGAGAGGGAGACACAGAATCCAAAGCAGCTCCAGGCTCTGAACTGTCAGCACAGAGTCTGATGCGGGGCTTGAACCCATGGACCGCGAGATCATAACCTGAGCTGAAGTTGGATGCTTAACCAACTGAGCCACCCAGGCGCCCCCAAGAAGAGACCATTTTTGACTCGAGTCCCCAGTTTCTGAACACAGAGATCTGAGGCAGCCCTGGGCATCTAGCTTCTCTTCATTCAAATTCTGCCTCCTCCAAAAGAACTTCTTGTTTTTTTAGGTTTGTTTATTTTTGAGAGAGAAACAGAGCATGAGTAGGGGAGGGGCAGAGAGAAAGGGAGACGCAGAATGAAGCAGCTCCAGGCTCTGAGCTGTCAGCACAGAGCCCGACGCAGAGCTCCAACTCACAGACCGTTGAGATCATGACCTGAGCCAAAGTCAGATGCTTAACCGGCTGGGCCACCCATGTGCCCCCAGAAAGGACTTCTAAGGGCCCATAATAAAAGACAAAGATAGTCAACTCCCAAACAACTTGAAATCACATAGGAGCCAAAGATGGAGAAATCTAGAGTTGGGAGAAAGGATGAGAACATCCACATGGTCCTCACCTGTCTTCCAGCTCCATCCAGTCTCCTCCGTTTGTCTGTCCTCACTGGTCTGTCCGGCAGCCCCCTTTCTCCACTCAGGCCTCCACCGGTCTCCGAGCCACGCTGTGTGTCCCAATGGCTGGGCTCCAACCAGCCTGTGCCCCTTGTGTCTACCTTCCCCAGCGGACGCCACCACACGCCCGAGCTCATCTGCCTCTGTGATCACAGGTGCCGGCGCTGGCTGTCCCCAGAAGCGCGCCTGTTCCATCCCTGGCTCCCCTGAGAGCAGCCTCCATGCCTCCTTCCTTAGGGATCATATTTCTGACCATCCGCTGTTCTCCCAGGGCGGGGGGAGGGGGCGCAGGTGCCTCAAGCTCAGAGCCCCCGGAGCATGTGGAGTCCTGTGCTTCAGCCTTCAGTCCCATCAACCACCCCATATATGCTTTTGATTTTAAGATTTTGCTTATTCATTCATTATTTATTTATTTATTATTTATTTTAATGTTTAGTTTTATTTTTGAGGAAGCACGAGTTGAGGGAGGTGCAGCGAGAAATGGGGACAGAGAATTGGAATGCAGGGTTTGAACTCACCAACCGTGATACCATGATCTAGCCGAAGTCGCGTGCTCCCCTGACTGAGGCAGCCAGGCGCCCCTTTAAGATTTGGGTTTGTTTGTTTTTTTTAAATATTTTTATTTATTTCTAGGAGAGAGAGACAGCGTGAGCAGGGGAGGGTCAGAGAGAGGGAGACACAGACTCTGAAATAGGCTCCAAGCTCTGAGCCGGCAGTCAGCACAGGGCCCGACGCGGGGCTCGAACCCACGAACCGCGAGATCATGACCTGAGCAAAAGTCGAACGCTTAACCGACTAAGCCACCCAGGCGCCCCTAAGAGTTGGTTTTTAAGTGATCTCCACACCCAACATGGGGCTTGAACATGCAACCCCGAGATCAGGGGTCACGTGCTCCACTGGCTGAGACAGCCGGGCGCCCCGTCCCCACGTATCCTTATGAACGGGCTCCGGCTGCTGCTGCCCTGAGGGCCCCCCCTCCCCGGCCCCCGCCAACTGCCCGCCCCAACCCAGCCCTCCTCCACCCTGCAGCGGGGGTCCCTCAAAACACAAATGTGACCACACCTTTCCAGGCCAATATGCCTTCCCAAGATGAAGGCCCAGCCGCTCTGCCTGGGCTTCCAGACCAAGGCAAACCCTCCTGGCGGGTCCTGGCCAAGCGGAGCCCGAGGGAAAGAGCCAGTCTCCAGACAGCTCACGGGAGGCGGACACTGTCCAAATCTAGGGGCATCACGGGTTCCAGTCCCGGGCTATCTTCTGCCGTGGAGGCCACCAGACGGCCGTGAGCCAGGCAGCCATTCCCGGCCTGCTCGAAAGACCCGTTCAGCATTAGCTCATCAGGTATTTACTGAGCACCCACTGTTTGCCAACCAATTGGGGGTTAGAGATAAATTCACCTGCCCTGCGCACAGGGGCTCCGAGTGTGGCTGGTGCGTGGGAGTGAGGAACACAAGAAGGCAGGCTGTGGACAGCCAGCCTGTGACCCTCCCGGAAGGGCAGGGAAGGCTGCCTGGCAGAGGGGACCCAGAGCCTTTCTTCCTGGCCTTTTGCTCTGGTGGCAGGGGCTGCGGCCAGTTCAGTGCCCAGAGCAGCACTGACGCGGAGCCCCAGGGTCCCTGTTTGAGAGTCCGAATGAAGGCCGGGGTGCAGTGAAAATCGGATCCAGGGTTTGGCCCCAAAGTGTCTCTCCTCCCTCCAGGGAGGGGACCGAGGTGTGGGAAGGCCAAGGGGCTTGCCCAAGACCACCCTCCAAGCACATGGCAGGACAGGCTTCCCTGGGAAGCACAGGCAGCCGGGCGCCCGAGGCAAGCAGCCAACCCGGTTCCTCCGGGGACAGCCCTGCGCAGCCGGGCCAAGGAGGTGCGGGGGCTCCCCCTGGCGGCCCAGCCTCCGTCCCGCATCCTGGGTGCTCTCCTGGCCGCGCCTGCACCCCCCTCCCCCTCCTGCTTTCCCGGAGCGGGGACCCCGCCCGCCTAGCTCCCCCTGCACGGGGCGCCTTCTGGTAACCGCACGGACGAGGCCTCCTCCCTGCCTGCTCCCAGGGGTGTCTTACTGTAGGACACTGTTCCCGGCAAAATTGTCATCTGGGCCTCTGATGGTCTCCCCGCAGAAGGAAGCCAGGAGATCAGGGAGAGCCCTGCGACCTCACACACGGACCTTGTGCTTCCCACCCAGAACCAACCAGTGGGGTCCTGCGCAAGGCATCCATGTCCACGCTCAGCCACGATTTTTATGCCTCCAAAATATCTCTCCGCTCCAAAATCAGAGAGACCAACGTCCGTGCAGCACAGGGACTGATCATAGGTAAGATTTTTTGAGCACTTACTACCTACCGGCCTTGGAGCGTAGTGTAGCTATCATCTCATTTAATTAACTCAGACTTCGGTCTTTGGGTTCCCCACCCCCCCACACAACTCATCCTCCCGGCGGCCAGAGAGACGGTTTACTAATACAACCCGGGGTGCCTGGGTGGCTCAGACAGTCAGGGATTCAGGCAGAGGGAGGAGGGACCGCAGAGCCCACGGACAGAGAGACGCTGGTGAGTGTGGACCGCAGAAGGGGAGGAGGGAGTGGGAGAGACAGTGGGGACAGGCCCAGAGGACACGGC